GTTGGTGTAGTGTTGAAGAGTTTAGTGCAAGTTAATTATCCTGAAGCAGTTCTGCAGTTTGAAGTAGTTGGCCATAATTACCTAGGTCTGAAAAACTTTAGATCAAATGCATTGTTTTCACTCCTACTTATATAATGCTAAGCGGTGCAAATATGCTTACCTTTTATGGCTGTGAGTTTATCCTGGAATCACGGTTACACTAATTCGACGCTCTCAAGGCGCTCAGCTGCGAGTGATGATTCCTCGAAACTTTGTTCTGTTTACAGAAAAGTATTCAAGGCCGTCTAGACTGAAAGATAAATGATCTCATTGTTTCCTTTATCAACCAAGGGGTTTATGCGCAGTTATGCGTGTATGTTACAAACCATTGACACCACAAAGGATTCATTTATCAATAGGATGATGGCACGAAACATCTTGCAATTCAAACTTTATAGCTCTTGCAAAAGGAAAAAAAATAAACTTAGTATAGTTGAATTCTCCGGATCTTGGGATCATGCAGTTTGCACTGATAATGAAATTTGATTATCTCGTGTATTTGGCATAAAATTGTTTTGGTAACTGACAATTTGTGAAACCAATGAGAGCTATAGAGAACATCACAACGTTGTAAAGTATTTAGTTTACTTGGTTTGATGTAAGCATTCGTTTATATTTAGTATTAGGACAAGATTCTAATTTGTTAAAGCGCAATTTTTCGCTTGCACGCCCAAATTGCGATGGAACGTAGGATGGCTCTGAGTGCCGGTGTACTTGATGTTTTATTCGTGGTTGCTGTAATTAGTTATAGTCGATGTCGTCGCTGAATTTAAACAGTTAAGATGTAGCTGACTTATGTATTGTAGAGTAATACGATCAGTGTACCTGCAGGCCGTTAGTTCGATATAGTCGGTGTAGTTTGTGTAATTATGGGTGTTAATTGGTTTGGTTGGTGTAGTTTGAAGTAGTTAGCCATAATTACCTAGGTCTAAAACCCTACTTCAAATGCACTGTTTTCACTGTCACGTATGATAGTCTCTTTGTAATGCTGAGCGATGCAAATATGCTTACCTTTGATGGGTGTGAGTTTATCCTGGAATAACAGTTATACTGACTCGACGCTCTCGAGGTGCTTAGCTGCGAGTGATGATTCCTTGAGAGTTTGTTCTGTTCATAGATTAGTATTCAAGGCCGTCGAGACGCTAAAAGACAAATTATTTCATTATCTCCTCTTTTGACAAAGAGGTTCATAAGCAGTTATGCGTGTAAGTTTATGTTAAAAACCATTAACGCCACAAAGGATTCTTTTATCAATAGGATGATGGCACGAGACATCTTAAGTACTAGAATGTGACTTCAATTATAGATGTTGTAAACACTGCTTTGCTGCATACTTGCTTAATGTACTGACTATCATGTAAGACCAATCAATGAATCTTGCAAAGTCTATTGTAACCTAAAAAACATTGTGTGATATTTGGTTGCCAACCAATATTCGTGAGAAAAAAATTATTGCTGCGCTTATCTTCACTGTCAGCCAACCTGAATGAAAAGGATTGTTTTCCCAGCCAGCAACTTTAAACAGTCGTTTTTTTTACTTAGCAACTTTCGAATTGCTTTCAATTAGCAGCCAGCAAGACATTATAACGCTTGAAGACTCAGAAAAGTATTACCTTTCTCTTGTAATTGGGTAAACTTATTATGAAGGTCTACGCTATGTTAATTAGTTTCTTAACTGTTAACTGAAAAGGATTTGGTTCATAAATGACTCTGTTGTAACTGGTAGACATCAAAATTTACTTGAACAAATGTATTCAAGTCTGCGCGATCGCATTCAATCAGTCTTCGATGAAATCGAATTCTCAGAATCATGAGATCATGTAACTTTCGCTGATAATAAAATTTTAATATCTCGTGTATTTGGCATAAAATTGTTTTGGTAACTGACAAATTGTGAGACCAATGAGAGCTACAGAGAACATCAAAACGGCGGTTTGTGAAGTATTTAGTCTATCGGTTTGATTTAAGTATTCGTTGAAATTAGTATCAAGATAAGATTTGAATATGTTTAAGCGCCATGTTTCGCTTGCACGCCCAAATTGCGATGGAACGTTGGAATTGCTGTAACTGAAGCAGGTTGGCTCTGAGTGCCGGTGTACTTTAATGTTTTATTGATGGTTGCTGTATTTCATCTAGTCAATGTAGTCGCTGAATTTTAGCCATTGAGGTGTGGTTGACTTATTTATTGTAGACTAAGATGGTCAATGTACGTGCAGGCCGTTAGTTCGCTCTTATTTAAAAGATTGATTTTCGTCAGAAAAATTTTATTTCTAAATTTCGTTTTTTTTGCACGACTGACCATTCCAATTTCACGTGATGAAAGGAGATAGGAAACGAAGCATTCAAAAGGGTGGCCTTGAATTTTTTTAAAAAATGGATAGTCAGAATATGAAAAAACTGAAACAAGTCGATTGTTTCATTGAACCGAACAGGCGTTGACTGTCAGTAATTTACTTGAAACGCGATAATATCTGGTAGGTGTAAACCCCAAATTTACAGGATCTTTAGACATTGCTATCGTTTTATTTGAACTCGGTTGACTGGCTTGCCTAGCACCCATATCCCTTATTATCTCGATCAAATGCCACAACCTAAACAACGCCAGCCTCGTACTGACGCTTCGTACAAATGAGCGAAACTGCCATTTTAGTATTAACTGCCGGGGACCTCGGTGTTTGATCGGGGTCCCGACCTTCGTTTTTGTTCGAGCTAAAAAGTAATTATATTTTCATAGAAAGCTCTACTCTGACTAACTTCCGTAAAAACTTGTGAATTTTATCTATGAAATTGTTCAGGGAAAATAACAAATAATCTTCAGAGAAAACCAGGCGATAGTTAGTTGTAGCGGGACGTAGAGAAAAACTCCTCCCTGGATATCGTAGGATGGGTAAAAAGGAAAGCGAACTATCTTGATAAACAATGGACCCCCATCAAACGGTTGAACCACCAGGTCATGCTGATGCTTGAAAAAGGCAAAATATAAAATAAATCGCATGAACATCTTTAGCATTGTTTGTCCCGATATGTAGAGTCACCGTCAATTGGAGCTGCCTTTACTTTCCGTCTCTCGAATCATATGGAGGTCATATCCTTCGGCATGTTCTCGAGTGGCCTCCGAGCGAGTTCTATTATTTATTAGTTGTCTCGTCTAATCACGAACCTTTCTTCGACTGCAGAAGCAAAACTGATTACCCATGCGCACTAAGCGCATAAATTGTAAAATGCCTTCCGTTTCTTCGAATTTTTGGTGGATAATGTTAGCATGGTGTTGATCGTCGACTTCGGTGGAGTGGGGGGTAGGGAATTATTTGAAATATTCTATGGCCACAAAAAATGTTCTTACGTGTTGAGGAAATGCATGGAAAGATTTAAAATAGTGATATAATCTTAAAATGCGTATACCTATGGAGTATAAATTTATTTCACATGAAAAAACTACAGTTGTGTATTAGAAATCCATCATCAATCCCATGTTCGAGCCCCTTTTAAAATATGAGCAGGTGCGCTGGTCCTCTGTCGATAACGCGGAGTCAAAGGTACGTTGTTGACATTAAAAATAAAATTTTTAAGAAATTGTTTTAAACACAAATACATTGAAAATGAGCGGGGATCGATGCCAAGGTCAGGCGAACTGATCTCAAACAAGCCCGTCAGCTCCTGGTGATCTTAGAGAACCTTGAGGCAACTTCGAGAATTATCGTGAGCGAAACTGAGATTACCCCGAGCAAAACTGAGCCTTCGTTAATAAACAAATCTGTGCATGTCTAAGAATTCTATTTATGTCAACTGCACTTGCAACGAAGTGAAAATGGGGAATAGTTTACACCAATACAGGCAAGTCGTTGGCAAGCATCTTGTTAGGAAAAGGATTCCTGGTAAAAAAAGATATCCAATATAAACCCTGTTGTGAGAAGTCGCAGTCGGTTAATAAGCAAACAGATCAGAGGAAGGACAAGGTTACTTTATCACCAAGTACTGGGTCAGTACGTAAGCTCTTCATTACTTTTATCGTAATGGTAGGCAAGGAGGGGGTGGGGTGGGGAGGGGAGGAGGCCTTTTGTGCTCGATCAAGAAATTTACGGACTTCATTTTGTGTTCTCTTTCATGGACAATTTGTGAGGAGCCATTTTTGCCAAAAATATCAATCGCTACAGAAAAAAACTCAATCGTTACTGCTAAGTTATTAATCGCTAGTGATAAAACTCGATCGTTAGTGCTAAAATATCAATTGAGTTTAATCACTAGCGATTGATACTTAAGCCTTAGCGAATGTGTTGCAGTCGACCTGAATCGACAAGACAATCAAACTTATAATCCCGAAAAGAAAAAAACTGACAAACTGAAATAAAACGAAATAACAAACTGAGAACTGAAACACAGAAAGAAACATTTTCAAAAAAGTTTAATAATCATAGTAACATTTAGGTAGTGCCCACTAGATAATGACGTTTGTCAATTTCAGTAATCGACACGATAGTTTTTTGCGATGGAACTGTTGTAAGACAATCAGGCCTTCTTAGAAACGGACTGAAGACTTTCCCCTATGATAGACTGATACAGTTAAGCAGCACCATATGGTAGGTTTTGGCCCACGAAACATTTCACTAAAGAAAACCCTTTCAAGAATATAATTGATGAACTACTCTGACGACAGAAGTGATTTTAAGTCAGCTTACATGGATAAAAATTGATATCATAAACCAACACCCGGTATTGTAATGCATAATAACATAGAATGATAGCTTAATAGCGAGGATATTTGTAAATGCGATGTTAAACTTGTAATTATCAGTCGTTTCACGGTAGCCTGGGCAAGTACGCCTCAGAAAACCCCTTGCGCGACCCTCTTAAAAAATCCTACCTACGCTGCAGTTTAAAAGCACTCGAAATATACAACAACCGAGGAGTGTTCGTAAGTAAGCACTCTAGTATAAATGTTTTCGGTTAAGGTTGGTAAATTGTCAGGCTCTTGTTTTACAATCAAAGAGCCATCTCTTAGGAGCCTGCCAGCACCAATCTAAGAAACGTATGGGTCGACAATCTCTTATTTTTTTCCACCATCCTGCGCACTGAATCTTGTACTTAATCTCGCCGAGGACATCCTGCCAGAAGTCGAACCAGATAAGCCGCAAGAAGAGGATGAGAAGTAAATGTATTGGAGAGAATGTCCCGGACATCTGGTGCCGCAAGTGCCGTAACGCCTTCGCTTGGTATTCTGGCTGATTTAGTCGAAGACAGCTGCCATCGTAGGGAGCAAAAATCGCCGTCATAACTCCACGGGGATTTCTTTTGAGCATCTTCCAATAATCAGGAAATATTCCGCATAACCTAGCGATGTCATCTCCGTAAGTGAAGGCTTCTACCAAGGTAGAAAGTCTACGTGAGGAATCTTTGAAGTAGTCGTCCCAAAATAACTTGTCTTTCACAGCTATTCTCTGCCTTTCATCTCGGGAAGGAAGCTCACACAGTCCTGAGAAAACTTTCGCGGTAAAAATAGATTGAACCTCGGCGATCGTGATTAATGATCCGATCACCGGCCGAACATATCCGATGAAAGCCAATGTCGGGTCCTCGACGTTAAACAGATACTTGTAGTTGTGGGTAAGAGGAACCGTTTTTATTTCCGCGGGGAGCATTGGAAATTCTGCCTTGAAACCGGTGCACTGAATGATGATATCAACCTCCTCTTCTGTGCCATCACAGAAATGTACTTTGGTACCTTTCACGCTCTCAATTGCGCCTTTTGGAACACAGTGGTGATAATCAACCCTATCAAGCACGTGACCATTTTTGTTGATAAAAGAATGGAAAAATTTGGCGTCATTTTTCCACTCGGATATACCATGACCTTGATAGGCGAGTAGTGAACCGTTCGTCGTCCACTTACATACCCATGCTAGCCCTGCAAGGGAAAGGAGGACCAACATTATTGTGAGGCAAAAATATGACAAATGGTAATATTCAAAATTAGGGAATAAGTTAGCACCCAGTGCGACCAACCAACACTTTGTATCTTGAAGTCAACTATGTCCGTTCCCAAATCGATCCGAAATTTACTCCATCGTGAGTAGAGACAAATACCAGTCGTAATTAAGTTATAGACAGGTCAGTTGTTTACATAACTGTTGAACATCATCCCCTGGATCTATTTTACTTTGAATTTTGTATAAACCCTCTTTGTGTTTAAAAGAACAACAGCCGTTTAAAAACGGACTATATCCATTTTAATATACCTAGTCTATAGTGGATGGTGGCTTCTTCTCTTTTTCGTTTGTTTTCTCGGAAGTGGTCCTTAAAAATACTCAATGATTTGTCAAGAAGCAATTATTTCTTTACTGATAAACAAAGTTACCCTGGAAGCACTGCCTAGACTCTCTCAAAAACACCCTGAATTTTAGCTTAATGTGTCTATACCTGAAAAAACGAGTTCCCATGTTTTTTTTTATTGCTAAATTGCAATTGTTATTTTTAGAGGCTATGGTATTATCATGTAATGTTCTTGTGTCAGAAAAGTTATCAAACTCAAGCGAAGGATTGGCCGGTTCAAAAATAGCGAAAACGTTTAGAGCCACATCGATTAACATTGCTGATCAGCGCTGTCTTATCAGAATTCGAATTTTGCTTAATCATCAGTTTTTGGCACCCATGTCTCCTCCAGTCTGATTTGTGCCGAGGAACAATTATCTATAAACTCAAGAAAGAAAACCTAAACTCAACAAGATGGCATGTGAGTTACTGGGATTACCTGGTTTTCCCTTTGTGAAAGGAGCGACGAATTTCATCGTACGAGATGAAGCCTTGTCCAGGACTTGGGGCTTTCGGTTCGGCAGAATCTTCGCAAACTTAGGGAAGAAATGCATCCCTCGAGGTATACTCCATACAAGGCGATATACATTTGCCTTAATGCTCACGGACAAATGATTTGAGCTCAGAGCTGTGGTAAATCTTGCCAGCGAGATCTTTAAGGAAAGTCTGCTCCAGAACTCAATTAGGCTTTTGAACACAGCCTGTGCAAATTATCAAGAATTTGCTGCTGAACAGGCTCCCGTTCTCGCACTCAGTTCGCCATAGGTTGTCTCTCTTCTCTTCTAACTTCACCCTGTGGTTCAGTCGAATGTGAGGCCACAACTTAAACTTGTCGCAGTAGGATAACAAGTAGGTGAAGATGTCGGCGTGCTTGGGAAAGTTTCCGGGATTGGAAAATCCGAAATTTCTGACGCGGATGACGACGAAGTCGTTTTCGTTGTCCGCATGACTGTGACAATGTTAGGGTCCTCTGAGAAACACCACGGCAACAGTCAGTCCAAATTCTAGCATGTACTTACACGCCATTAACCCTGACCAACCAGCCCCAATGACGGTCACACCGTGAAAAATTGACTCAGATTCAGACATGATGATGATTTTGCTCTGCAAAAAAAAGAGAGAATTTTTAAGCGATTACTTTGGTTTGAATGTTCAAACATCGGCTCGATTAAGTAATTAGATGTTAGAATTAAGTTTACGATTTCTCTGAGACACAAGTTTATTACGTCTGTATTCCGTGTACACTTTTTAAAACTATTTTGCCGTATGGAGTACTAACCGGAATAGCTATTAGGAAATTTTTAATCAGTTTATAAAGGTGACAGTTACTGCACCGTCAATCCTTGTCCATCGTCATCAGATCACATAAAGAGAACAGTTCTCTTGCATTTTTTCGTTTAGTCTAATTGGAATATAACTTTCCACAGGGTCTAATTACCGAATATCTGTTTTTCTTGTCTAATTCGCGATAGGAGAAAGTATTTCCCAATCAAAATTAATAAAGTAAAGTATTAATAAGTTAATAGTCATTAATAAAGTTAATAAAGTATGTATTAATAAAATTAATGATAAAAGTAAGTATTTTTCAAAGTTAAATGGACTATTTTCAGACAGTAAAAGAAAATACAATTAGTCTAGATGTAAAATGAGGCCATAAAGGAAATTAGTGATGACTAACTGAAACAGCTTTTACGTGAGATTTTTGTTAAGTGGCTTACGATAATGTATTATTTTATTATTATTAAATTATTCATTTTTCCAAACACAAAGATAACGAAGTACTGAAAGTGCTCCTGAGTATGATATACTTTTACCTTCGACAACTTTGATGTTTAACGTATGCCTCAGAGGGTTTTTATCTAGAAATTTTGGAGAAATTTAGCTACAACTAGTGACATTTTGCTCCCACCATATTTTGAAAGGCAGTCCAGCGGAAACTCGTGGGAGCATGCTCAGATGTATCCAAAATGGTGGGTTGTAGTGTCAAGCGTTCACGGTACGTAACGATTATGCCCAATTAAATAGACTTTCTTCATCCGATATTGAATATAGACATTGCTTTGTTTTTCTACTTTCCATACGCAGCATTCAGCATACTTACTTGTCATGTTTGGAACGAATAATGTTACAAATATCTTTTTACTTCCCAACATTATTACATAAAAGTTATAAATTATTTTGCCGCCTCTTCCCTACCCATCGTGGGTCTATTTTGCTTTTTTTTAAATTTGTTTTTTCGTATGGTTTTGTTTTGTTTTGTTTGTTTGTCTGTTTGTTTGTTTTTGCACCGATTGCAGGCCTGGTTGCTTTTTTCAAAATGGCGAACACATTTCCTTGGAACACCCACTGACTTTCGACATGCTTTTTTGCATACTTGCTTAATGTACTGACTATCATTTAAGACCGATCATGATCGATTATTGACGACTCTGGCAAATTCAGCTGTATCTAAAGAAACATTGTGTGATATTTGGTTAACAATTAATCTTCGTGGGAAAAAAATCGCTGCGCTTATCTTCATTGCCAGGCAACGCGAATGAAAAAGATTACTTCCCAGCCAGCAACTTTAATAGAATTAAAATCCCATGTAGGAAAAGTAAAGAGTCATGTTTTTTTTATAAGCAACTAACGATTTTCTTGCAATTACCAGCCAGCAGGACATTATAAAGGTTTAAGTCTATGAATGACTCTGTCGTAACTCGATCGTAGACGTTAATATTTAGTTGAGCGAATGTATTCAAGTCTGTGTGATCGCATTCGATCAGTCTTCGATGAAATTGAATTCTCAGATCATACAATTTGTGCTAATAAAAATATTGATTACCTCGTGTATTTGGCGTAAAATTGTTATGGTAACTGACAAATTGTGAGACCAACGAGAGCTACAGAAAACATCACAACGTTGTAAAGTATTTGGTTTACTTGATTTGATTTAAGCATTCGTTTATACTTAGTATTAAAACAGGATTTGAATTTGTTTAAGTGCAACGTGTCGCTTGCACGCCCAAATTGCGATGGAACTTAGGAATCGCTGAAGCTGAAGTAGGTTGGCTCTGAGTGCAGGTGTGCTTTGATGTTTTATTCATGGTTGTTATATTTAGTTGTAGTCAATGTCGCCGCTGAATTTTAGCGATTAAGGTGTTGTGGACTTATCTGTTGTAGACTAATATGGTCAATGTACGAGTAAGCCGTTAGTTAGATATAGTCGGTGTTGTGTGCGTTATTCCGGGTGTGAATTGGTTTGGTTAAGGTGTGAGTTTATCCTGAAATCACAGTCGACGCTCTCGAGGTGCTTAGCTGCGAGTAATGATTCCTTGAGAGTTTGTCCTGTTTACAGAAAAGTATCTAAGGCCACCTAGACGCTGAAAGATAAATGATCTCATTGTTTCCTTTATCGACAAAGGGGGTTATGCGCAATTATGCGTGTATGTTACAAACCATTGACACTACAAAGGATTCGTTTATAGGAAGGTGGCACGAAACATCTTTCAATTCAGACTTTATAGCTCTTGCAAAAGGAAAAAATAGACCTAGTACAGCTATAGAACTGGAATGTGAATTTATTTGTAGATGCTCAATTTTCCACTTTCTCGCACTCCTTAAAAATTATGATAGGTGGAGGCTAAACACAGACTAGAATTTCTTTGTGTGCCATTTGGCACACATAGAATTAATAATGAACTTTTTTGGCAAGATTCTTCGCTTTCGTTTCACTTTTCAGTTCAGTTCCTTCGCCTTATTTCAGTAACATATTAGTCTACTGCGACTATAGAAGCGCAATATTTGAAACTTTTCGTTATGTTATTACTCCCGGCTACTCATGAGTTCTTTGCACAGAATTGTGTTTCGTTTCCGCGACTACATTACGAGGGAACACACACTGACTTTCGAAATCACATTTACTCAACATCCTTATTTGAAGTATTCAAAATTTCCATGTAGATACAACTCAGTGAAAAACCTAACAGTTCTAGCCTTTGCCACTTTGTCTTCAATCAAGGAATATCTAAGTATACTCTACGTACGTTCTTGCTCATATTTATTAGGCAGCTTTTTGGCCCCTTCAAACATTTCCAAAAGTTTACCAGGCGTACTATCATCTCCTTTTACTCTATGCTCAATAGCCGCTTTTAGTGACAGTTGTGATCCTCCCTTTACTGCTTTTCTCCTAGCCTCATGAATGTCTCGCTCGCTCATATAATCCGCTACCTCTCTCTGAACCTCCTCCGCATCTTCACCTCGAAATGCAGCGGTGGCTATCTCATAAGCTATGTGCACAGCGGTGTCAATTACTCCTTCTCTTTCCTCAGGGTCAAAGACATCCAAACATTTAAAAACAGTGTCTATGGAATATCTCACTTCATTCTTGATTGGAATTTGGCGGTCAAAGTGCTTCTCTAATTCCTCCCAGAATCCATCCTGTTCATGTTCAGCGATAGTGGCCATGAGGTTGCGAAGGTTTCTAGTGAGTGCGACTTTGAAACAATTGCACTTGTTAGAAATTGGGGTAACACCTGAAAGGCAAATATTTGACAAATGACGTACAGACTATTTATCAGGATTCTTATTTCCCCCACCTCCACCTTGCGGTTTGTCGCTCATATAGGTGACTGTTGCGAAACTAATAATATACATGGAAAAATTACTCAGTTCTGATTGGTTAAGATAAATGCAGTTTTCAGGTAATTCAGTGCAGAAGAGGGTTAATTCAGTACAAAGAAAGTAACAAATCAGACATTCTGATTGGTCAATAATCAAAGAAAGTTGGAGCCCTGCAAGATTGAATATGGTAGAGCAAAATAACCTTGTTTTGAATACCTTTAACAACACCGCCATTGACTCATTTAACCTGCAGTTCCAGGACGCGAAACATGCAATAAATATTTGCACATATTCTCATAAGCAACAATGAATTGAAAAATGCGTCTTAATATTTCGAGTTAGACTATGATCGCTCACTGAATTAAAGATTTGACGAGATGAGACTCTTGTCTAACTCTCAGCATTTTTTCCGATACTATTGACCCATTTTACCAAACGTGTCATAAAATCCGAATCTGTTATGTTTTGTAAAAAAATCCTAACACTTTCGATACACTCTTCGAAGACTTGGACTTTAACTGGATTTTTATTATACCAGCATAGCTTAGCTACAGAGTCTACATATACACCATGTTTGTCCTTTTCAATTAAGATGGTAGTAATATTTCTCACGCATGTTAATTTGTCCTCATAACTCTCGGGCATCTCTCCTCTATCTGTGAGGCTTTTATGGATATCTAGTATTACACAATTAACACCAGTTAACAGTGCTATTTTGGCGCAAACAAACTCCTGAGCGTTTATGTCATAATGTGGCCCATTAAACGGCTTTTCCACTGTCATACAGTCAATTTTGCTCTTAATTTCATAAGGGATATCGCAGGACTGAAGGAAATCGTCGTTCGGGAGACCATGTTCGTTAATGATTCCTCTACTTTCTAGCTCTCCATAATTAGATTCCTTCGTGAAATGTTCTTCTTCGCCCCCTAAGACATCGAATAAATTCTTAATT